ATATGTGTTATATATATACTTATATATATATATATCTTTATATATATATATATATATAAATTTATATATATATATATATATATATATATATACTAAAACATATCCCCATGCCCATATCAGCACTGGCGAATCGTCGGTCTTGGCACTCTATGGCGACCCCCAAGAGAATAGGTCACAGCCTCAGCCGAGAAAGAGCGCCGATGTGACTGCCGGTATGAGTGCGGCATTGAAGAGCGCTAGGATACATAACTCCAAGACAACACACCCACAATCACGCGACTCGTGGAAGGGCCACCAATACGACGCAAAGATGATGCAGAAGACTAATCAAAGGTGTGTGTGTGTGCATGTTCGTTGGCATGTGTGCATCTGCTGCGTTTAAATATATATATATGTATACGTATATATATATATATATGCTTATATGAATATATATGTGTGTGTGCATGTGCATGTGCATGTGTTCATTTGCTGTGTTCTGTGTATGTGTGCTACGATGTCAGTTCTACACTAATCAGCGGGATCTGTATGTGTAGGTAAGTGTGTAGGTATGTGATTTTGTATGTGTGCGTATCTGTATGTGTATACACATTCTGATGTACGTGTACATGTGCATGCATATTGGATCGATTGCTTGTGGTACAAATGTCTGTAGACATACAAACGCTCGCACGCTTAGCAATCGCTGCACTCTCTCCTATGCTGTGGCTATATCTGTACTGTCTTCCGTCTACATTTCGTCCGTTCTTGTGAATACATAGAGGCGCATACTATAGTATGCATGCGGTACAGAGTATTATTTATCAACATACATACAAGTAGTATAAACATACATACATACAAGTAGTATAAACACACATACAAGTAGTATAAACATACAAACAAGTAGTACAAACATACATTCAAGTAGTATACTGGTATGTATGTAATACTGAGTTTTATTTCCGTTCGACTCTGTGTATAGAGTGAGAATAAGCGTCTCTGTCTAATGCGCGGCCCATTCGCGACCATAGGAAAAAGAAGGAACTGACGCGAAGCCATGACAAGATGTTGCAAGACCTCAACGCCCAACACTTCCAACTGAAAAACCGGTTAACCATTGAGCAAGAACAGAAAATAGTAAAATTAGCACAACAGGTGTGTGTGTGTGTGTATGTGTGTGTTATCTATATGAGTACTTGTTTGTTCGTGCTGTTTTTGAATCGGTTAAAGTATATACGGCTTCGTACGTATCGTTTGGATGGCTCGAATGCACACCAATTAGTGCAATAAACCAAATAGTGCCGTATATATTTATATTTATATATTTATATATATATATATGTATGTATGTATATGTATATGTATATGTATATATATATATATATATATATATATATATATATATATATATATATGTCTGTGTCGTGTCTGTATATATATATATATATTTATATTTATATTTATATTTATATATATATATATATATATATATACTTATATATGTATATATATATATATATTATTGATACATTTGTGTATGTTTGTGTATGTATGTTTGTGTATGTATATTTATATGTATGAAATTTTGTATATATGCAAGTATATATATATATATATATGTGTGTGTGTGTGTGTGTGTGTGTGTGTGTGTGTGCGTGTGTGTGTGTGTGTGTGCGTGTGTGTGTGCGTGTGTGTGTGTGTGTGGCCAATTCCGTGCCACTAATCAAATATATGTCAATTACTAATTATACACTACACGACCGTTTCATGCAGCACCAATTGGAATTAGAACGGCTCGACAGGCGTGATGTCAGTGAGCAGCAGAGTTTTGCCGCCAAAATAGCATTTGAGGAGAAGGTGAGGGTGAGGTCGAACACACCACTTAAATGGCTATATGCTGTCTCTGGGCCTGACGGTTGTTACCAGCGATACCTACACATATCTACCAATCCTTGTGTGTTTATGTGTTCACCTATGCATGCACTTGTGTTTATGTATTTACATATTTCCGTGTATATATCTATTGAGGTGTTCATATCCATATATTCGCATACTTCTGTTTATGTATACATTGTGGTCATATGCTCATATATTCATATAATCATATATCCACATACTTGTATGCATATATTCATTGGGATCCCTGTGAACAAGCTTCGAGCTAAAAAAAAACTCGACTAAACCCTTAAACCCTAAAATAAGTGTTTGATTTCCTGGAAACCCTACGCCCTATTGTGCAGACAGAGCATCCGTTCGCACGTCACATCGCATGCGCATATCTCAGCATGCGCAATGAAGCTGTCCTCTAAGGGTGTATGATCAACCACGTGTTCCGTTATTTTGTGTAGTTTGCCCCTTTTTTAGGCCGATTCATGTTGGAGGATCCAGAAACTATACATTGTATTTGCATGCGTGTTCGGAATATAACTGACAGTGTACACCATTACATGTCCTGTGGACACGCAGGCGGCTTGGAAGGCGTTCGAGAAGCAATCGAAGCTCACGAAAATCAGCATAAAATTAGAGGGAAAGCAAAACAAGGGCGCCAGCAAGAAGGAAACCAAGGGGAGATATACGCGAGAGGTGCTGTCTATGAAGGAAGACCTCGAGCGCATGCAACAGAAGAACAAGGAAGAGGAGTATACACAGCTCAAGGAGGAGATGCGGCGCCGGCGCAGTATTTGCAATGTAGGTTGATGTTTCTTTACTGAAGGCTGCTTTTACTGAAGGCTCAAGGTTGAGTTTGCACGCCTATTACGCGCAGGATTATTTAGGTTTAGTGCAGCAATATAGATGAATATATATATATAAATATATCTATATACGTATATATATATATATATATATATATATATATATATCAATTTGTACACTTACGCATATGTATTGTACTGCAGGAAGATACGACACTATCATCGTGCAAGATAATAGTAGCAGATAAATGTA